TGGTCACACCGTGACCGCTTCTCCTCCACTCTCTTTTCGGGGTTTTGGGCACACACACATGTATCCAGCATGAGTTTCAAGCCCCCAGGTCTGAGATTTAAACCATGATCTGTCATGATTCTGTCATGGGAATCCAACTCTTAACCACCACCTGCTGGCCCTACATCTGGCATGTTTTCCAAACCACTGGGTCTGGGATTCAAACCATGCAGTCAGTTATGTGGAATCCATCGCCCTTAACCACCAGGCCATGGGACCAGCACCCCACCCCCCAGGACAACCAGAGGGCAGAGGAGAAAAGGAGCTGAGGAAGAATGCACTGGGCTTGTGGTGCACAGGACAGGTGGGTGGTGAAGAAGGGGGTCAATTGGGACTTGTAGCTGTCTGGTGTCTCAGTCCATCAAGTAGGGCCATGAGGGACAGAGACACCAAAATAGGCCTGGGGTCAGGGAGGGGCGGGGCACGGAAACATGAACGAGCCTTGGTTTGAGAATCCAAAGCAGAAATACCAAGGAGGCAACTGGCTCTGGCTTTGGGCATCGTGGGGTGGACTCTCAGGACATGGGCATTCTTGGCGGGTGGCTGCTGAGGATGACGTCAACAGAGGAGGGAGGAGGGCCTCGGACTGGGCCCCAGGGGCCTCCACATTGAACAGAACAGAGGTGGGGGAGGATGGCCCTGTACAGAACCAAAGAAGGAGTCAGAGAGGGGCCCATAGACCCAGGAGAAATGGCTGGTGAGCACTGAGGGAAGAGCAATTCCAGGGAGGAGCCGTGCCCTGCCAGGCTGCTGCAAACTGCATTGTGGGCCAGACGTGAAAGTCGTGGTTGTGCGGTGAGCAGGCGCCGAGGCAGTGGAGACAGGAGAGAGAGAACAGCAGTAGTGAGGTGTGGGCGCCACCAAGTCCACTCCTGAGCTGATCTCTGAGATTTGTAAAGAGCTGGGGTTCAGGTTGACCCCTTCACTTTTGAGAATGACTTATGTCTATATTGGGCTCCCCCAGATCCAGGATCTGGTTGCTTCATGATAGTCGGGGAGCCCAGTGAGCACCGGATTCAAGGATGGGGCTTTGGAAACTTTCTACTCCGTCTTCTCTCTCGGTAATAGTCAGATATCTGCTACCAGCAGCCCCAAACCTTCACACTGCGGGAGGGTAAGAGGAATAAGAGACTCAGGCGAGGCCCGGCCTCTGTGGCATACTGGACTATAGAGCTGGAAGACACAAGCCAACCACAGTTAGAGTCCCCCCATCCGGTTACCCTGAAGACGTGTGGAGGGCGTTTGTGCCTGCCCAGGATCCTGGCTGGCTGGGGGATCAGAGGAAGGGGATTGGGACATGACCAAGCGGTGTGGATGGTGCTTCTCTCTTTCTCATGAGCATATGTGCCTGTGTGCTCTCTCATGAAGTAAAATAAGTAGAGCCCACTCGTACCTTACTCCCAAATCACACCATGTAGCTTAACTTCTCCGAATGCACTTTGTTTGCCCCTCTTGGCCTTGACTCATGCTGTCCCCTGTGCCCGAAACGCACTTCCTCATTCAAACCCCACCTGTCTGGTGAATGCTTCACTGGTCTCAAAAAACTGGTCACAAGAGCCTCCTCTGTGAAGCTGTTTCTGTCCTCTACCTCCCACCAGGTGGACTGACCCCTCCTGGCTGCAGTCCCCTCCAGAAGACCCTCTCATGGCGTCCACAGCACTTGACCGTGTCACTAATGGGAGCAAGGGGCTACACCCTCCGGCCTCAGCCCGTTGTCACCGGGGAACACAAGCTCTGTGTGGTCAGATCTTCTGTTTTTCCCGGGAAGTAAAAAACCTCGATTTTTAACATCA